TAGTCGGCGGGACCTCCAACGGGACAGTACATGGATTGGTAGGACCCCCGGCAGAGGAGTAGTCGACGGGGGCCTCCAACGGGACAGTACTTGGAGTTGGCAGGACCCCCAGCGGAACCTCCAACGGACCAGGACCTTGGGTAGGGACTTGAGACGTGACTCAAGTAGGGACTCGAGAGGAGTCTCGAGAGGGGAACTCGAGAGGGGACTCGAGAGGAGACTCGAGAGGGGAACTAGAGAGGGGAACTAGAGAGGGGACTCCAGAGGGGACTAGAGGAGGGAACTCGAGAGGGGACTTGAGAGGGGATCTGGAGAGGGGACTCGAGGAGGGACTAGAGGGAACTGGAGAGCGAACTGGAGAGGGGACTCGAGAGGGAACTGGAGATGGGACTAGGGAAAGGACTAGAGAAGGGAACTCGAGAGGGGACTAGAGGAGGGACTAAAAGAGGGAACTCGAGATGGGACTAGAGTTGGGACTTGAGATGGGACAAGAGAAGTGACTAAAGGAGGGACTGGAGATGGGACTAGAGATGGGACTAGAGAAGGGACTAGAGCAGCTGGGGCCAGATCTGGGTCTGGAACCAAGGCTGCTGGGGCCGGGACTGGGGCCGGAATTTAAGCCAGAATCCTGGCTGTAAGGTCCGGTTCAGAAGCCGGAAACATGGCTGTAAGGTCCGGTTCTGAAGCCGGAAACCTGGCTGTATGATCCAGTTCTGAAGCCGGAAACATGGCTGTCTGATCCAGTTCTGAAGCTGGAAACATGGCTGTATGATCCAGTTCTGAAGCCGGAAACATGGCTGTATGATCCAGTTCTGAAGCCGGAAACATGGCTGTAAGGTCCGGTTCTGGAGCCGGAAACATGGCTGAATGGGCCGGCTCTGGAGCCGGAATTGAAGCCAGAATCATGGCTGTAAGGTCCGGTTCTGAAGCCGGAAACATGGCTGTAAGGTCCGGTTCTGGAGCAGGGACCATGGCTGCCGGGACCGGCACTGGAGCCGGAACCATGGCTGTTGGGTCCGGAGCAGAAGCCTGGACCCTGGCTGTGTAAGCCAGGTAATCCAGTATGGACGCAAAACTGCGTGGGCCGGTACTGGAGCATGGAGGCATGGCTGCTAGCTTGGCTTTGCGCCTCCTTCTCTTAGCAGCCGCCTGTAGCATCAAAAAAGCTGAATCCGCTGGGTCCATTATTGGTCGGTTCGTAATGTTACGGTGTGCAGGAAGCAGGACCCAAATGCAGATTTAAGTGACAAAAATAATTCCTTTATTTCAAGGCTATAATATACAGAGACAGAACAGAACACTCACCGCAGACCAAGTCATTACACAAGACGAACCGACACTGAACACAGGAAGAGACAAGACTAAATACAGGGAGGGGTAATCACAAGACGAGACACAGCCGGGCAGGGGAGGAGAAACACAAGGGCCACAGGTGAAAACAATCAGACAACTAGACACACCAGGGAAACTAACGACAGGAGGAAAAACACAGGGAAAAGGACCAGACAATATACCAAGAGGAAAACATGACAGGGAGAACAGCAAAACACCCAAAACAAGACATAGAAAACGTGACATAACACAATAATCGTAACACCCATGGAGCTCAGTCCTCCTGGTCCTGGACAAAAGTGTTGATCATTAAAACGATAAGATTCATTCGAAAGTTGTATTCCTGCACTTTGCAAATTACAATACAGTATTCAGAATATTATTTTTGATTTAATTTAGAAATGATTTTGAATGATTTATTTTTGTATATTTCATTTAAAAATATATTTTGTTATTTGAGGGTTTTATTTCAGTTGTAGATTTGATGCTTTCAGATTCAGAAAAAAAGTTCTATCAGAACTATCTTTTTCCAAAATACACTTATTAGGTTATTACCGGACTGCACTTGTGGTATCCTTCTTGCTCAGAAACAACATTCAGTCAGTTTTGTTGACTTCTCTGAATTCCAGTTTCATTCACCGATTACTCAACGAATGATAATCGTGTGAATCCTTTCAGCAGATTAGGACATTAGAGCTAATTAAAATGTATTCCCTGGCACACATACCGTATGTATCAGCGTATGATTTATTCAGACATTGTGCAGTAAAAGGAAAGTTAGTCTAGCTCAGTAGGGCCCTGTTTAGTCACTACAACTGCCAAGGTTGTGTTACGGTCAAATGACTACTAAAAGTTGATTGACCTTAGGACATTTTGTTAGGCGCTTAACCGTTTAGCATCAGTAGCATCAATTTGTGCTCATTCACATCATGAGGGTCCTCAAGCCTGCAGTGAGGAGTGGCATCCCTGTAGCTCTTTGATCAGCTGAGCACAACCGCACATAATTGAAATATGCAGATCGTTTTTCAAGACATGTCCCGTTGTTGAATGCTGTGCTTTCTAAAAGGCCATGTCCCAAACACTGGGCCGTCGAAAAAAATCATTTATGGTTGGCTTTCCAGCTGAACTGTCATGAGTAAAAGGAAATGAAGAGGTTGGGAGGAGGGTTACGGGAGTGGAGGCGAGATTTGGGGGTTGCAGTGGGGGTGTTTTAAGGGGCTATGGAAGGGAGGGGGGTCTTCCCTTTTGATGTTTTTAGGGCAGCAAAAAGGGAGGGGGGCTCTGCCTGAGCTGGCAAACACATTTAGCCAGTAATTGTTCAGATCAGACTGACAATCAGTCTTGGAAATGCATGGACAAACAAAAGTTTACAGCTCCAATTGGAAGAGTCAACAGGTCTCGCATAAGGCCCGTACATAAACAATGAAACTGTCGAGCTGGAGCTTCACTTTGATCAGTTGTTTGCGTTTCAATTATCTAGCCTGGTCGGACTGGTGGCTTTTGTTAGCACTGCTGAATGGGGGCTTGGATTTAATGGGCCTGCCTGTCATTTCTGATCCTAAGACTAGCTCAAAACAGTACCGTATAAAATCTCTTATTACATAGTGATTGTAGTCAAGTAGTTCTACTCAATAAAAGCATATGGTGTGTGATGACAGAAACATAGAATAACCATATAAGACTAAATGGCTCTTATTTGTAACGTCTGTCCATCATTTCCTACAACTGTCTCAACACTTTACCAAACAGTAAAGCTGTGTATGTAACATTAATATTTAGTGAGTATAGGCTGCAATGCATTCGAGTAGCCTGCAATGTTTCTCTGATGCATGATGGTTTAATTGTTGTTCCGTTTTCGTTTCCCAGACTGTCAGGAATACATTTTTGCAGATAAAACAATATGGTCACTTAGATTGGATTGACGAAGTTTAGAAACTGAAATTCAGGATGGAAAGACCATCCAACTAGCTGTCATATATATTTAAGGGGAACATTTTTAATTTCTTTCCCTTGACACCAGCTCATTATCTTTCAATGACACGTTTTTCTGAAGCAGTAGATCGACTTGAACTTACTTGTTTACTCCATAAAACCTAGTAATCTATCATATTCTTTGTTATTACTGAATTGTCAACAGTGGATTCAAATGTACTAAAAAAACAACAGCTTTGGAGGTATCTTCATGCCTGACGATCAAGTGATATTCCTGAATGAGGTTCTTGAAGAAATTCAGATTATTATTTTTGCATGACTCTGCAGTGTGCTTCCTGGGAATAGACTCTTCTCCCTAAATGTTTCCGAGCGTATGTGGCTAGAGGTTGTAAGTGCTTTTTGATGGGGCCAGCTTCTGTAGTGGCTTGTTTCGGGCTGCTTAGGGAGGCAGGGTCGTGTTCTCTGTTCACCCCTGCTATTCTACAGCCTCCACAGGGGGGGGGGGGGGGGGGGGGCGAGGCAGGGGTTAAATTGCTCCCTAAGCAAATGAAGAAGGTAGCTCTGTTTGTTTATCCGGGGTTAAGAATGATGGTTGTGGCTCAATAAAATGGATGAAAGCAATGTTACCCCCGTTCTTCAGCACTGGAATTGCTCCACATTTGCATGGCAGCATTGGCGACACAGAAGGTGTGATTTTTCCCACAAGTCAGTTCACTGAGGTTCACTCTAACTTTACAGACACCGGAGGAGGTGTGGGGGGGGCTAATTGAATCCATTTACACAAAGTCCACTTGCCTTACAGAGGCTCCGCAACAACACCATAAACTCACGGAGTCATGTGCCACCATACTGCTGCATGTCATCAGTACTGTTGTATTACATCAGTGAGTTATCACAGGGAGATGGCTTTCACTCATTGAGTGGATGCTAGTGAGCGTGGGGAGTCCTAGGGGACAGATCCCTCTGTTAATCCAATGTGGAAGGAGTTAAGGAGATTAATGTCAACTTTTGTCAAGACCTTTCATTCTTGGCTGTGGGTTGCCCTGCTTTTCAGGTCAAGAATTACTAGTGAAGGAATTGTCAGCAAGTGCAAGGTCACACAAGATTTGTATTATAAAAAGATAATTCATTATTATTAAGATACTCTATTGGATTTACTTGACGACTGATGAGCTATAAGGGCGACCATGCAGTATAGTGTGTTTTACTCCTTTAAGATAGCGAACTAAATATCTTTGGGGTTTATATCAAGCTTGTTTTTTATGTTATAGAGACCCAATACTTAATAAATGAACTGCAAAAATAATCAACAGATTTATTGAAAATATAAATAATTGTTAGCGGAAATGTTTTCCCTGACCAATCTTTTCTGACCTATGTTATGTTTAGATGAGCTGGTTTGTCACGAACAAACTAGTATATCTTATCAAAGTCCTGAATCTACTCAGAAGCCTATTCATTATATCATGGTTGTCACTGTGCTTAAAACAAAACCAATTCCAACTGTCAAACACTCACTCACGCACGCACGCACATGCACGCACGCACGCACACACACACACACACACACACACACACACACACCACACACACACACACACACACACACACACACACACACAGTCAAGTGTGATTGTCCAATCAGAATGAAGCTGTGAAAGGAGGAAGATGAAACACACACACCACACACCCACACCACACACCCACCACCCCCCCAATTTACACACACACACACACACACACACACACACACACACACACACAGACACTGAAATGTCAGTAGTAAAAAGTAAAAGTGAATCAAAACAGTAAAAGTCAAACATGGATAACATAGAAAAAAAGGAAGTGTAGAAGTAACCGACACATTAGTCCTGTAAACCCATCAGTATTGTTTTTAACAAAGAAATGTTTTTGTTAAGTACTATACAATTGCAGTCCACAGGCGAAATGTATAAACCCTTGAGCCTGAAGTGTCGCGATGAGAGGACAATTAAAGAGATGTTATTCAGTGGAGTGGAGGTAAAAGAGAACAATAATACTTTTTGCATTTTTGGAATATTTCAAAAAACGTATTTTGCTTAACTAGCCTATACAAATATTTTTTAAAGAACACATTTTTAAAATAAAAAGTGATCCAGTTGAACTCTTACCGTGTACGTCTCCATCCTCCGCCATGGCGTTGATCTTCTTGTTGGGCAGGACCTGCACGTGCTTGCCGCTCGTGCGGCTGTACAGCTGGTAGATCCGGATCAGCCGGCGGCTCACGCGGTCCGTCACTTTGCTCTGCTCGCTTACATGCTGCGTGAAATTAGGCGGGGACTGATTGGTTACCTGTCAGAAATTAGATGTCATCACAGTAATCAGTATGTGTACACGAGCCTTATGAATGTATTCCATACGACATGACACTAAACTGAGATGGAAATAAACTAAGCTATGATAGTGAGAGTCTGCCGGTTGACACACAGGGAGGATGTTGTTGTTTTCCCCGCGTGACAAATGTAACAAGTTCCTGAGGCCTCTGCCAAACACAATGGACAGCTTCTGGAGGCCCGCGCGCTGATTACAGGCTGCGCGTCCGCCGCAGAGCCCACCGTGTGGATGTGGGTCTCTGCGCTGCGGTGAGAGGACTGTTGCTGACGGAAACATTGGCTCTGGTGACTCTAAGCCCCACGACATTTCTCACTGGATTCGCAAACATTTCCCTGGCCCGTCTGTGCCGCGCGCATCGTGCCAGGCCCGGTGTGTTCAGCAGCAACCTGCCAGCATACTACTCTGTATCATATATTGTGCTGATATCAATCCTCGCTTTAAATATTTCAGAGTCTAACCCCTATAAAAATTGCCCTAAAAAAAGGAAGATTGTAAAACATGCATATGAAAAGAAAATGAAGTAACATACCTGAGCATAGTAGCACAATGCAAATAAGTGTAGACATCTGAAAATAAGAAGACAAAATACAAGTTAGTTCGCACCATTAACAGAACAAACGTGAAGTGTGGAGCTGCGGGAGGAGAGGCACTCACAGGTAGCTCAGTCCGGATGGGAGGGCTCTCATGATGGATGGAGGTGAAAAGCTCTTCCAGTATATTCTCACCAGGATCCTCTCAGAGCTCCTTTCGTCACTGATCAAACTCTCGAGACCCGAGACTCCGAAGTCCACAGTTAGGTCAGAGGTGCTGACGGAGAGGACACATCCCTCAGAGGATAAATGTCCATGAGAGGCTCCGCGCTGCAGGCTGGGTGCACTTGCAGGAGCGGAGCTGCGCGGTTAAGTTTGGGGGGGAGCTGCGGGCAGTTGGTCCGGGCTGTGCGGCGGATCCTCGCTGCTCTACGGCCCTCAGGTGTGTGTGCTCTCGCTGTAGAGCAGGCTGTAGATAGATGCTGCTCCGCTGGGTTGTGGCAGGATTGCAGGCTCCTCTCTCAGTTCATCCCACACCGCTCCACTGTCAATCCTACACACCCCCGGTTAAAGCTGGCAGGCTGATCTGCTAAGAACAAGCCCCCTTTTCTGAGGAACAAAAGCGTCCAGCCCCTGACCCGCTACCCCCTCCCTCCCATTGATTTAAAACATCTCTACCTGAGGAGCGCGCACACTGCAGGGGGAGAGGGTGAGGAGGAGCCGGCTGCAGCAGCAGCTTTCTGGGAGTCTAAAGATGAGTGAGGAGGATACAGTTAGAGATCACCTCCTCCCTACCCTGCAGCTTTGTGTATTGACGGAGCAAAGTGTGAGACATATTAAAAGGATTACAGGCGATTAGCGTTTTTACGCCCCCCCCCCCCTCCCGTCATTTGATAAAGAGAAGGGTTTAAGTGAAGTGCAGAGACAAACAGGCTTTAAAGACTTAAAAGAAAATGTGTATAAAGCAACGCTGAAACATGCTGATGGATAGTTTGGGACATTCACACCTCTGTTTCTGACAGGAGAGCTGCACATTCATTATCCGCTAACCGCGCCCTTTAATAAAGAAGAACCATTATCAGTTAGACTTTATTGATTGTTTGACCATTAATTATAGAACTCAGTATCGGCCCCATCAGGGAAACAGAAACCCAGCGCGGTGTGATTCATAAAGGTCATAATCTGAGCGGAGAGGCTGGCCTGTTGTGAAGGAGCAGTCTCCCTGGTTAGACATTACTCAAGGAGCACATCAACGTTTATTCAGAGGGCTGCAGATCTTAATACGGTCTGTTGACTTGAAACATCTAATGCCCCGGCCACACGAGGACGAAAACGGCCGTTTGCGTTACTGTTTAGTGTCATATAGACCATTCGGCCACACGAGGACGACCGAATACGGCACTAAACGACTGAGGAAACGATAATGGGTCACAAGGTGGATAGAACGGCATACGCAAAGCTCTGGGGGGTCCAACGGCTCCGTGTGTACGCCCTATACGATAATTTTCTGATAATGATGAGGCAATAGCCCCGCCTCTCCCCACCTCTGCTGCTCACCCCCGCGTCAAAGTAAACTGCACACTGAATTCAGATTATTTATCTTTCTCTCAATATGGACATAAACGCGAGTGAAGTCTAATCTGACAGGACGGAGACACGCAGCTCTGCTCACCTGCAGCTCCTCCCGCTGTGATGCGGCGGTGAACGGAGTAAAACACACACTTCAAGTCAGATCATCACCCTTAGCTATTTTATTTATTACCTCTCAAACTACCTAAACTAATTATAAATATGTTTATTTTTACTGTCGGCCGAGTCACTCATTACTGGATCAGCTGCTGCATGAAACAGACACTGGCGCGCTGTCCGAAGAGAGGGAGGAAAAAGAGAGGCTCCGTGTATTTTATTATTATAATATATAGAGTCGTTATTCATTTGTTTTAAAGCTCAATAAATAACAAAGAAGACATTTGACCGGCACTTTTATAATTTTATCGGAAGGTTTAAACTTTAATACACGTTGACTGGCGAAAAACTCTGCCCGGTTCCCTCGGCCCCCACCGTGGAGAATAAACAGAAGGGCAACCATGACAACCATGCTTCTTCGCTGCTTTTGTGGAGGAAGTTACAGCGCCACGTACAGGCTCCTGCATATGTACTGCAGCTTTTCCAGCGGTTGGAGCTAAACGGAGCTGACTCGTGTGGGCAGACACTATCCGGATAACTATTGCGTGTGGACGGAAGCTTGTTTGTGATTGCGTTTGCGTTAATCCAATGCGTTTAGCCGTTTTCGTCCTCGTGTGGCCGGGGTCTAAGACTCTTTTGAGGGAAAAATCCCAACTGTTGAACTCTAACAGGCCATCACAAAGCCCCCCCCCTGTCCTGCAGGACCCAGCCACCAGAGGGAGCTGCACTGGGAGCCGCTCTCACGTGCATCTGCTGTGTGTGTTCTACAAGATGCAACAGAACATTGTACTGTCTCTGCCACTCTCTCCTGGCCCAGGGCCCGGCTGCCCCCCCGCCCCCCCTGCTCCCCAGGAACCCTGCATCCATCAGCAGCCCTGCGGGGGGCACACACCCCTCCCCTTCTGCTCCCACTCTCCCTCTATCTTCACCCATAACCAGAGCACCACCACATAAATAGTATTTGAACATATTTACGCTAAACAAGATGCAGTATTTCCGTGCTTTCTCCTCAATGATATTCCCAAACAGCATTTGGAGCAACTATTTATGCTCTACATGATATTTGTCACATTTATTTTATTATATATTTTGAAATCACCTTGCGGGTATTAAAGGGGACTTTATGGTTGTGTAACTGAAAAGCTGCCATAATGTTGACTGTGATGTGTTACATTACTTGTACACAGTGGTGAGCTAATAACCCCTCACATACTGGCAAGTGGAGTTGACTTTGTGGTGCCCACAGTATTGAAAGATGACATTGGAAGCTCAACAGCATTTCTGTCCATGTCACTCTGGATAAAGCACACGACGCATGGGAAACCATTGGAACTATTACTTCTGAAGAGCTTTGTTCACAATTTGGTCCATTGCTATTTATTTAATAGCCCCCCCCCCCATGTTCCTTCCCCTCATACCTTGGTTACACCACTCTCTCCATCAGTCATGCTCTGCATTCCAACGTGCAGCCATCTGCCTCCCCCATCCTCCTCTCTCCATCACCTCTCTCTCTTCCCTTTACCTCGGTGGGCTTTAGTGTGTCAGTATGCTTCATATGAACTAGTTTGTAGCACCGCTTCAAAGAGCTTTTGTTGTGAATGTCCACACTGGTGAATCAGCTGATCCTGCTTCCTTACACTGTCCCCAGAACGGCAGGCTAACCGGGCACAGTGGCAGCCACTCTCTTCTTGGAGGTATACCTCCTCCTCCTCCTCCTCCTCCTCCTCCTCCTCCTCCTCCTCCTCCTCCTCCTCCTCCTCCTCCTCCTCCTCCTCCTCCTCCTCCTCCTCATCATCATCATCCTTATCTTTCTTTCTTTCTGTCCTGCTTCGTGTTGTCCTTGGTCTGGGCTGTTACATAATGGCAATGAATCTCCATTCTTCAGTGGGGATGTTTGCAGACAGAAGTGGAGGGTCCAGGGTGTGCATTCAATTGATGCTTCTCTGAAGGGTAAACTCCACTAGAATGGAAGACAAGTATCCTTCAGTGCTTGCTAATATGCCTTGAAAGCAAATAATTTGAAAATATATAGTTTTTAAAATAATGTTATTATAATTATTATTATTATAATAAAACACTTTTGTTCATTCATTACATGTTTTAAGTATTTAATAAACACAACAAGATATGTTATGAGGCGCATATAACCACATTCATTTAGCAGTGTGTACCCAGAATGCAGGAGGACTGCATGCTAACCGGACTTCCTCTGCGTAGTACTCAGGGGCGCATAAGTGTTAAGACAGAATGGGCCTGTGTACAGCGTAAATTACAAACGTTATAAGGAGGAGATGGTCTGTCCCTCCCTTACATGCAACAAGTATTGTAAGTGTGAGTCATGCTTTAGATCAGTGGTTCCCAACCTGGGGGGGAGCCCCTTGGGGGGGGGGGCGCCAAAGATCACACGGGGGGCACCAGGCCTTAGATGATTTGAGGCCAAATATCATATTTAGACTTTTTTTTTTTGTACATATAATTGTAACGCAATACATGATTGTCACTAAAAACCTTGTCTCTACATTACAATCAAGTATAAAAAATAATTGATTAATTAATTTGAATAAAAATTCAAGTTAGTAGCTAAAGGCATAAAAAGACAGAGATGTATAATTTTTTCTTTAAAAAAACAGTCTTGTCTGGATAAGCGCATTTTTAAAACACAGTCATTGTCCATGCCGGTTTCAGTTGGATTATTCGTCACAGTTGCTCCGATCAGATCGGTCTCCTCCATTTTGTAGATTATTTACGACTTTTGAATCCACATAAACACATCGGCAAAATCCGGCTTACTTTGAGCATGTATTTTAAACAGTTTAATCCCTTTGTGAATTGTTTCCACTTCCGCCGTCCTTTCATTTCTTCATACAGCGGGAATCCAAATGAATTAATCCTGAGTCCAATAACCATCAAAGTCACTCCAATAGTGCTCCTTAATTACGCTTTCATCCTCCTTTAACAACATACTTCACATTCATCCAGTTTGTAGCATTTTTGAGACTTTTAAATTGTAATTACCGCTGTTGCGCCCCCCCCCCTTGTATGTGTGTGGGGGGGGGGGAACTTCCAACAGGAGTCATTTGGGGGGGCTCTTGGGAAAAAAGGTTGGGAACCCCTGCTTTAGATGAAGAAATGCACTTCAGTTTCTTCAGTTTTTCTGCTCCCCTTGGATGAGCTGCTGTATCACATGGAAGTGTACATACAGCATGGAAGGAGACGACTATCACTTTGAGGAGCCAGGAAGGTGTAGCTGGCTGAACGGACAGTAGGTGACCCACAGCTGCTTGGCTAGTGGTACTCATTATGTATATATATATATATGTGACCTGCTCTACACAACACATCCTATAATTATAATAATACGAATAATTCATTACATTTATTTAGCGCTTTTCCAAGTGCTCAAAGCGCTTTACATCAACATGTAATACATCAATACTGTGCACAATACCCACAGGAACAAATTAGACACAACGGCATGTTGACTGCAGTGCGGTCAAGGCAGGATTGGAGCTGGTGTTCCCCAGCCCCCCTGACCTGAGGATCAACACAATGCCCACTGCGCCACACCCTTTATGAGTTGTATAAACAGTTAGAAAGAAGAGATTATTAGCTTTCAAATGAAATCCTTTCAAACTATATCACATAGTATGATGAAAGTTATCAGAAAATCACTTATGACATAAAGGCCTTCAAAGTGTGCTTTACAATGATTTAAACCAGTTATTTTAGGAGGGGGCTTCATATGAATGCACTGAAAGATAATAAAGACACATACCGCAAAAGAGCATGTAATGTGTTAAAATCGGCTTATCCACGTCTACACTGAAAGAAATATAAAAATATAATACATTTAATTAAAGTCAACATTTCAGTTTTTTCAGTTTATAGATACATGGTTATAAAAAGACATCGGGAAAGAGACATCTGTAAATATGGGGATCATTTATTTTGAGGTAAATCAAATTCACGCACTCACTTACTTATTCATGAAAAAAAATGCATGTGTAAGTGTTTGTGATGCTCTTCCAGTCAGTGGGTGTCATGGTTGGAGGCAA